GGACCAAACACTCAAGTGTTGAATGTTCATGGTGCCATAACTCAAGAGAGCTAAAGCACAAGATTGTACCTTCCATCTTTGAGATTTGAACAAAATACTGTCTGCATTAAGTAAATCATCCAGCTGATCATATTCTTTCTTAACATCTAAAACTGTTGTCCTCATGTCATTATCTTCATCAGCATGAAAGAAGCACTGACGATCCTTAGCGTCGAGAACTAATGTGTGCCAGACAGAGTTGCTCTCAAGTAATGTTCGCTCATTGCCAAGAATCCATAGACAATGCCTACAAGAATAAAACCCTGAGATGCCAACTTATAAGAATAAAGATTTTACAGAGATGAAACAACCAAAAAGATTGATCCATAAGATGCAACAACCAAAAAGATTGATCCATACCGAGCCCTGGTCAAAGCAACATTAGTCCTCTGAAGACTGGACAAGAAACCGATTGATCCACCTGAATTAGATCTCACAGTAGATATTATTATGATATCTTCCTCCCCTCCCTGAAATCCATCAACTGACTTCACCTTAACTTCGAAACCATCAAGGGTATCATACCTCCGCCCAAGTTTACCTTTTATAGCCAAAACTTGTGCAGCATATGGTGATATAACACCAATGCTGAGTTTCTTCTTGGAGCTACTCCAAGCTGCAAACAAAGTATAGAAGAAGTTAACGAAACCAAAATAAAAAAACAGAAAAAGTGTTTGAGCTACAAAGAGCATCCCACCCATGCAAACCCCACAACAACATACCCAGTGTAATCCCACAACTGGGGTATGGGAAGGGTAAAATGTACGTGGACCTTACCCATATGTTTGTGGGGTAGAGAGGATGTCGTCACAGATATATTCACTAAACCTATGTTTCTTTTTGGTGGTTAAGAAATACAATTCAAGGTTTCCTCATGCACAATAACACTTGCGTATTTTTGCTACTCTTGGGACTAAACCATTCAGTACCATAAATAATGTTGATTTCGAGAAAGGTAGATGTAGTTATAAAAAAAATAGACAAAAAGAGAATTTCAGGTAAAATTCTAACCACAAAATTGTAGGTTTCGTTAGTACGACAATACCTTTAAACAAGCTATGCACCATCTTCATCACTAAGGCCACCTCAATCATATTCCTTCGGCTATGTCCAACATCATCCATTTCTTCTTTACCCAATGGAACATTTATAAAGGAATACGGGCCAAAACATCTTCCTGGAAGATATCTTTTCTCATACGTTTTATGCTTAACAAAAGGGGCATCAAGAATTTGTTTACAGTAGAAAGCTGAATTTGGGAATTGACTAATTGATGGATGCATGCGATATTGTACGTTAAGCAAGTGTTTACAATGACCCAGCGAACTGAGTCTTTCAAAAAGGCTCCTTCCATAGCCAGCTTCTTCAGAGAGCTGTTTAAGAGTAACAGAATTGTGTTAAAAAAAATTATAGTGACAAGATATCGGTTGCACTTGCAATTCCTTTAAATCGCATGCACGAAAAGGCAGCAAACTTACTTGACTCTTAACTACTGCAGGCAGTTGACACTCATCACCCACCAAAACAGTATGCCTCAGACATGGTAGTTGAAAAGGTATGACAGATTCACATTCCTTCAATTGGGCGGCTTCATCAACGACTAATAAGTCAAAGGACTTCATATCCAGTGAATGAAGCCTATACGAACTAGAAGC